AAATCTGCCATCGTGTTGAACTCTCCCTTCAAACCTAGGGCTCTTGATACCAGTTGTTAGGAATTTAACTCACAAACACGAAGAACAATTAAAGAACACACGAAATTTGGTAACCCAGTTCGCCACAGAGGACTACGCCTGGGGGCGCTACCAAGCCAGGAATGTTATTAATATTTTCTGGATGCAGATTACAAGAGAGGAGAGTGGTATTTATAGAGATGCAGTGTCTTGTTCCCAAAGCAACATAACCCCTAATTAAATTAGGATGTGTTTCCAAATATAAATTAAGAAACGTGTTTCCAAGAATAAATTAAGAAACTGTCTCTAACACCTTACATGGTCGTGGTAAGGGTTAGGGGTAGAGGAGGGGTTAAGGATGGGTTTATTGTAGACATTTTAATGTTAAACGTTGTTTTAATTAAATTCGTGAAGTAAATATGACTTATAACACTGTTTATTTTACGCCCCACCGCGCGCTTATTAACTCAAGTCTTATTAAGCACCACTTAGTAACCTATAACCTGTGAAGTAAACGTGTCTTAAGTATGTATGTACTGTATTGTGCCCAATAATTCCTCAGTCCTTTTTTTTTTTATTAAGTTTTCCTGTCGCTAAATACGTACGATTGCAGTGGTCATGTAGTTTGAAATTACAAAATTTCATTTGCCGATTTTCTGTTAGAGACATGTAGGATTTTCAGGTAGAATTTTGAGTGTTATTGCTGATTGCTAATGAACATTTTAGAGTATTTGTGATGCTGATTTTCTTCATTTAACAATCGATATTAGCTAATTAATACTCCCTCCATCCCTTAAAATTTTGTGATTCCATGCCGCATTTGTTTACCAAACGTACAATAATTAGAAACATAATTTTATTCAATAATAAGAAACACACACCTATATATGCATGCATGCATGATGATGATATCCATGATAGTAAGGATTGAATGAAATGCATGTATATGCAATAAAGCTAAGCTCCAAATCTCCGACCCAACATCATATCAAACTCCGGCGGGTGGGGTCAGAGCACCGCCAAGGCAAGCGGTGACACAGCTGATGTTGTCACTACCGCAACCGGTGACACAGCCAAAGGAGTCGAGCACGGCGGCGGAACCACACTGGATCGCGCAAGTTATGGCTTTCTGGCTACAGTTGATGATGCACTGCCCCACCATCTGCGGCTGCCCTCCGCTTCGACCCACCGCCACCACCAGTATCGTTATTATTATTACTGTTAATTTTTCCATTGCAGACATTTGTAAAGATTAGATGGAGCTGAGAATAACCAGACCGATGGAGATGTTTAAATGCAGACCGGGCAAATTTACTTATGGCATACAAAAGGTGAAAAAGATGCATAATTGCAGGCTCAAATGAAGGCTAAAAGTGGTAAGCTTTCTGTTTGGTTTTTAGTTAATAATGATTGAGAGTATTAATTACGATTAGCTGTAGCGTCATTTGTGTATGCATGCATTGATGCATAGCGTGGTATGGTCTAGCATCCCACCAAGCTCACGCTACTCCTATTCGTGCTTTCGGTTTTCAATTATTGCCTTTATAACAAATATCGAAATCTTCTCTTAGTTGATACATACTCCTCCGTAACATATATATGTTCCCATTTGAAAAGTAGGTAGATTAAGAATAGTGAAAGGGGATATAAATTATTGAGGGTATGATGGGAAGATAGTGAAATAATGTGTTGGAATAAAGGATAAATCCAAAAAAAGTAGGTGTAATAGTGTATTATTTTTAAAATTATTGAGGATATGATTGGAAGATTATGAAATGAGAAGATATGAATGTTACATCAAAAAAAGGAAAGTGAGAAGATATAAATGTTACGGAGGGAGTATTTGAATTCAAATTTTATTATCTAGTTTGTCTTGTTTTAGTGTGTTTAAGCTAGGTTGATCTGGTCTCGTAACTGTCTGATCTGGGACTGATATGTGCTATTTAGTAGTGCATAAAATTATAAAATCGCAATTTAGAATGGTTTTACATTGTGTTTATTTATCTTTTGTAGAATTATTATGTAATCTTTATCTTCAAAAATAAGACAAAATTAATTAAAAGATGTTAAGAAAATTGACATTTAATCAAGAAATACAATTGAAAAGCAAGAGGAAATCACTTGAGATCAGAGCAAGAGGAAATCACTTGGGAGCATCAAGAAGGAGCTTGGAGATAAATGGAAGCTTCATGGGAGAAAGAATAATTGTGAAAAGTCCAATTTGGTCACACACTCAGTCGGGTATATCCAATACTTGACCCGGTCATACCCGGTTGGGTATGGCTAGATTTTAGCACATGTGTAGCTACTACCAAGGATACCCGATCGGATATCTAACCCAACCTATTTCATATCTCCTATAGAAATTAACACATCTTTCCTTCCTATTTTAGAGACCCACCAACCCCTTCTTTCATATAGACTTTATTTTTGTAATTTAGGTAGTCTCGTGATTTGTAAGTTGTGAATTATTTCTTTAATCCTCCTCTCTTAAATACTACCTCCGCCCTGAAAAGAAATTCTCACTTTCATTATATGGATGTCCCAAAATTATAAGAAGTTTCCATTTCCATAAAAGGAGACCGCTTTTAACAAAAAAATCACCACCCTTATCTTTTACCCGCTTTTTGCTTGATTTGACATAAAGTAAGGATATACTTGGAAAGTCAAAATAAAACTCAATCTTACATATATAAGTATGTGTGTAAGTCAAACCCGAAACTTCATTTCGGGACGGATGCATGGAGTATCAGTTACTTCCCTATTCATATTTTATACTCCGTATTAATATTTGAGCATCACTAAGTGATTAGTATTTAGTTGATGTTATCATATTGATTATATTACTGGAATAGTTGATTTTTTTTTAACTATATGCTTGTTATTCACTTGTTCCTTTCATAAGAGTATCCTTAGATTAGTAACACATGCGTCTCATATGGAGTAATTAAATTGGTTGAACCGAAAACTGCTTGTGATGAGGTTTTCAATCTTAATTGATTTCATTAGATGACCAATGGATGAATTAGATAGAATAGCTGAACCTGAGGTTCTCATTGTGACAGTCAAGAATACTAACATTGGGTTACAAGTAATCGTTCTTAATTTATTTCATTAAATCGACTACTGAATGCTACTTTTAAAGTCAATGTATGACGTTTTTTCTATATTGATCGCATGCCCACCCATCTAACTAAATATGCACATCTAAGTCATACTACTATTTTGAATGTGACTTTTAATTTTTTCGCTTCCTTACACTCTACGTCATACAGTAATATAACGCAGGCTTAATATTTGTCAGATAAAAACACATCCTTCAGTCTAGTTTGCATTCCTCTATCATCACATAAAAATCCTAATGCATTATGTCATTCCATTCACCTTGTCTTGATTCTATGTGATACATCTCCATTTAGTTCATCATTCTTTATATTTTGAATTATGGATCCCAGTTAGCAATGTCATGTTATATGCAGGGGCGTATCCAACGTGGGGGCAGGGGCAGCTGCCCCCACTCAATCCCTATATATATATATATATATCCCATATTTAATTGTATATACATTTTTCTTTCTGAAAAAATAATATATTGTATACGTCAATAATGAGTATAGTACCCAATGGTGCAGCGGTCAATGTTATGCGTCTAACTATAGCTTTTGCCTTCTCTAAGGTCTGGCCTGGTGTTCGAATCTTGTAGGCTACGTACTGTCAGTTTTATTTTTATTTTGCCCCTTTTGAAGCCTTGAACAAATTAGAAATGGCTTTACATAATACATTAACTTTTATCTTGATGGATAGATTAAACTATATCAATATAATCAAAATTTTAGTTTCACATATGATTCATACCTTATTTGATCCTTAAATTAATTCCAAGTATATATTGATCCTTCCCTTATTTGATTCACTTTTTTAGTAACATAATTTTGAACAAATTACAAACGCCTTGTGATTAAAATATATATACTTCTAACAAAGTCAAATTTATTTATTATGAATTTTTATGTATGATATCAAAAAGTTTTTGCTTAGTGAATATTTTTTTTATTTATAATTGACTACAATATTTTTTTTAATATGGTGAGTCTGCAATGTGCGTGTGATGAGATATAATCCAAGTTCGCCCCTGCTGCACGAGTTTTTCTGGATTGGCCACTAGTTATATATATGCATGCTAATAATCAAAATAGATTGAATTTGGAAATAGGTACAATTATTGAATTCAAGAGTATTGTCTAGCTAAAACTAAATTTTGAAGTGGTACTATTAATCTGAGCTGCTAGCTGGATCAAATAGACTCTGCAAGACAAGCTGAATGGATGGTCGGAATTGAAAACATTAGAGGACTTTGTTCCTCTATCTCATAATGATTTTCACTTTTACTTTGTTCTTAATAAACAATGTGTGTTTTAGTTATGTTCTCTTATTTTAAACATGAGTTTATATCATATTTTAGACTGGCATGTGTATATATTTAGTGCAACAAAGAATGCGGCTTAGTGAAGGCGCGGGATGAATACACAAGAACTTAGCCCCATAGAAGATCGAATTGAAGGGATAATTAGCGCAACAAAGAAATCCAAACTGCTAGGAAATTATTAGAAATTGCTTAATACGTAGTATAGAATTAAAATATACACAAAATTAAAAAAGATAGACGATACAATCAACAAATTAAAATATGAATATGAAATTTACATTTTGTCAATTATTCCCCCTCATTGTCCCATTTTACCTTTTCGAAAAATCTCACTAAGATTGTTTCTACCAACTTTGGTAAAGTTTGTGTAACTCTAAATCACTTGTATTTTATTTCTACTTTATCAATTCAATATCTATCATACAAACTTACTTTTCTAAATAACCGTGTCACATCCTCTATGATACAAACTTACTTTTGTAAATAACCGTGTCACATCCTCTTATCTCAATGTCAGTGGAACAGATCAGATAGTAATTTAGTTCTACTTATATATATTCGTCACAAAATTGGTCTCTTATTCAAACAATGAAGTATATTTCATGCTTGTCGATTGAATTTAATTAAAAAAAAACCCAACTCAATACAAAATGAAGCATCCATATATAGTCCATACCAAATACGATAGCATAATAACCAATTATCACTCGATCTATTAATAACTACTACGAACGGAGTATTTGATATGCTCAAATGATTGAAATGAATATAACTACAAAGTACAAACATATGTAAATTAAAGGTTTAATTTACCCCTCACCCCCCATCACTTCCACATCCACAAAAACAAAAACAACACAGGGCGATGCAAGCTAGCTAGCTAGGCTATGCCGCATGCATCTTTTTAAGAAACTACAAATGGCACAATGAACATGAATCCTACTTAAATGCATGTATGATGATTGATACTCGTAGACAGCATGAAATGCGGCATCAAACTCCGGTGGGTGCGGCGGACGGGGTGGGTGTTGGTGGGTTCGCTGGACTGGGTGTGGGTGATGGGGTGGGACTGATGGGTGTGGGCGGGGGCGGGGTAGGAGTGGGTGGAGGGGGCGGGGTGGCCGTGGGTGGGGAGGGTGGGGGTGTAATGGGGGTGGGTGGGGTGAATGGGAAAGGTGGGCTCATGATGGAGGCGCCGGAGAAGCAGCCGGAGACACAGTTGATGTTGTCGCTGCCGCAACCGGTGACGCAGCCCATGGAGTCGAGCACGGCGGCGGCGCTACACTGGATGGCGCAAGTAATGGCTCTCTGCCCACAGTTGATGATGCACTGCCCCACCATCTGCGGCTGCCCGCCACCGCGCTCCACCACCACCAGCAACGCCATGGTTATTACCATTACTTTTTGCATCAAAGACGACATTTTGAGAAATCCCATTGGTCTGGTTTATAAATGGCAAGTTTTTTGTGGTATTAAAATCTGCAGATATTTTATGATGAATTGATGATATATGGAATTGTTTCGATCGGTCCTGTTGATTTATACACATAAAAAGGTAAAAAGGGATACATTATTGGAGGCTGAAATGGAGGATGAAACTCATGAAAGAGCTGAACATAGCGTGGTATGGCGGTGTACCGGACCGTCCATCCGAGGCCCACGCTACTCTTCATGCTTTCCATATTCAGTTCTTCCATTCCATGACCAATATTTTCCTTAATTACTCCGTAGTTTTTTTGTGTGTGCTAATAATGAGAAAGTTCCCGAAATAGGACTAAAAGAGTTTCAAAATTCTAAAATAGGACTGTCATGTATTTATTCCTAAAATGAGACAAATTACTGCCGAATTTGGAAAATACTATCATGTTTGAAGTCTGGTACTGCCAAAACATAACAATAATTAGTCCTATTTTGAGAATAAAAACATGGAAGTCCTATTTTGAAATTTGCAAACTTTTTTTGTCCTATTTAAGGTAATATCTCGCTAATTATCTTTGTTAGGCACATGGTTTTATGTACTCTTCTTAAAAATCTGATCAGAACGGCCAGGTTGACCCAAAAATGGACTACAACAACAACATCTAGATGCCACGGAGCCACCGCGAGAGGAGGGAGGGAAACCTCGACTTGAAGATACCATTTTTGACGCATTCTTTGATAAAGGGCCTGATAAAGGCCTAAACCCATTATTTTGGTTTACTTGTCACCCTGAGATGCGCAATTATGTTCATGATTTTAAGGTCTTACGCCATCTCAAGGCATTTGTTGACAGGATGTTTGATATGTGGAGAACTAATTTTCTAAGTGGAGTGTCTTTAATTGAGTTTCTAAGGGGGTAGTTGCGTCAGGCAAACGACATCTAAAATAGTGCTTCTTCGGAGGCAACCCAAGCTTATTTTTGCACTTTTTGTTTTTGTTTGTTTGCTTTCAGAAAACCCCCGAAAAAAAGAAAAAAAAAAGAAAAAAAAGAAAAAAAAAGAAGAAAAAAACGGGGTGTTTTCTGTGTGTTTTTGTGTTTGTTTGCTTTGTTTTTGCAACTAAGAGTTTGTTTTTTTGGATGATGCGCCGAGGATCACAAATTGACCCAGTTTTACTCTGCACTGACCAACGCCACTAGGGAAGTTTCTATGACTCTAATACTCGCCTGTTTGTAATATTTGACTTGAGTTGAGTTGAGCACACGTGACCCTTTTCCCTTTACCCCCTCGTGCATAGTGCATTTTTGGTCATCGAGGGCGATGCCAAAGTTCAAGTGCGGGGGAGTGAATTGGGCATTCGGGCAGTAGTTGTTACAGGGGATTACTAGAGTTAGCATGCGCTGGTGTTAGTTTTATATTCATAGGAAAGTCATGTTAAATTTATTGAAATTTTTTCTTTAAACTGTGTCTTTGTGAGCTAGCTAGCGTTTTGACTATTGTTAGGACTATTTTAATTGTGATTCAAGTTTAGTATGGTATACCATTTATGGCATTAATTATTATATAATAAATAGGTTGTAAGGGAATAAGGCCCAAGAAGGTCTTAAGCCCATACTCCTAGGTATCCCTTTTAGGTAAACTATATAGTGCCTATAAATATGCGCGTTCTGTACAGAGCCTAGAGTCGACAATTCTATTCCATAGCCTTACGCTGTAAAAACTTCTCGATAAATAGAAAGATAGAAGAACTCTGTTCTCGATATTGCTATATCATTATCTGATCTTCATCTTCTCTATTTATTCGATGCATACCATCTAGCTATGTGTTAGTCTACAGAAATCTGTGACCAACAACTGGTATCAGAGCCTGCTCGAGTGTGATCATCCGCGAAGAAGTTTTTCAAAGAACTCTGTTTTTCATACTTTTCGATATTTCCTTGTTTTAATCACTGTAATCTTGTTTCTGATCGATAAATTGTAAAAGTTATACCATTGGATTCGCCTTTCAAAAACGAACCAAGGGTATATCTTACTTTTCGATTTCAGCAAACTTTATATTTTTGATTTCTCGATAGTATGATGTCGAAAATCATGGTTCTCGACATTTAAGCAGGTTTTTCAAGCTGAAAACAGAACATGAAGAATCTCAAGATTGAGAACTTTACAGAAAAGTTGATTAAACTGTTTAAAACTGAATTTTTAATTTGCAAGATTTCGATACTACGTTCTCGATATCAGTTCTCGAACTGAGTTCTCGAGCTTCACTTCTCGATACTTAGTATTCGATATCTGTTTCTCGATATCTTGCTTTTTCGACTTTGCAGGTTCTCGAAACAGCTTCTCGATACTCATTTCTCGAAACTAAGTTCTCGAACTTAGGTTCTCGACACTGAGTTCTCGATACTGCTTCTCGAACCAGCTTCTCGATAGCAAGGTTTTCGATATTTGATATCGAAAACTGCTTCTCGATAGTGGTTCTCGAACACTACTTTTCAAACTGTTTCTTGAATTAGGTTTTCGATATTTTGCACTTTAGATTTCTTTTCAAAACACTCGAACAACAAAGATGGATGCTTTAGCAATAGGCAACGAAAGCAAACCCCCCGATCTTAAGAAGAGGAGAGTACCAAATGTGGAAGACTCGCTTCTTAAATTTTCTTGAAAGCAAAGAAAATTCATCTGCTATGCTGGAATCACTGACTCAAGGACCAGCGGAGATCTGGGTGGATGTGACTGGAGATAATGGGAACAATCCCCCTGTTGTTGTGGCAAGAAGATTGAAGACGAAGTCTGAATACAATGATGAAGATAGACTAAGAATCAAGGCAGATCTAATGGCTAAAACGTTCCTGCTACAAGCAATCCCAAATGATATATACATCTTGATTGATGTGAATAGAAACAGCTAAAGAGATGTGGGATGAAGTGAAGAAGCTGCTGGTTGGAACTGACCTTGGTCTGAAGACGAAGAAAGCAAACATCCTGACTGCCTATGACGCATTTAAAGCTACACCCGGTGAAGCGCTCCATGAAACGTATAACAGATTTGTACAACTGATTAACGAGATGAGAAAGATCAAGGTTGTCAAATCAAACATGAAGATGAACATACGTTTCTTGTCGAGCTTGCCCCCATAGTGGAGAAGAACTGTGAAGAACACCTTCCGATATTTTTCTTTTAATTTTTCGGAGACTTTTGAAAATCGGAGTTACTTTTAACAGTCTTTTTCAGACGTTTTTAACGGAGTGACCCTCTTGTGATAACGGAATTCAAACACATGAACCACTTTGATAAAGAATGAAACACATGACCCTATCTGAAAACGGACCTAACCACAAGTACTTTTTCCGTACTTTTCCCAAGAAAATATATGTTAATATAACTAATGTTGAGATGTTAACTAATTGTCGTTTTAGCAACACTCCCCAACATTAATATAGAGATAGATTAATTAATATCCAAGGAAGAAGATTGAAGAAAATAACTTACAACTTACAATTCATTAAGCTTCAAAAGGGCAAAACCAAGATGGAAGAGTTTAGCTCCTCATTTGGAGACTAAACATAATGAAAATATAAAGAAACTTATCTAGACTGAGCTTAGGAGTGTATAGGAATTGGTGAATATTGTAAAGGAAAAAGAGTGTATTTATAGGCTTTTGGGGCTGCAGGTCGTGTACCCGATCGGGTACATATAGGGTACCCGACCGGGTATCTCCAGAACTGTATACTCGAGCCATACTCGATCGATTTCAGGGTTAAAACCAAAGGCATACCCGATCGGGTAGTCGGTGTACCCGATTGGGTATGACAATTGATCGTGGCCAAATCTTTCCATGCACGTCCCTTTGTTTCTTGAACTGATCTGATTGAAAATCCAATTGGTACTCGATCGGGTAAAGGGTATACCCGACCGGGTACAGGTCAAAATTAGGATCTTTCTTCTTTTGTCTTGTACTCTTGCACCTTTCCTCTTTTCGGTTCATCAAGGATCATTTGATTGATCATGCACCTGTTTTAGCTCAGAATAGACCTAATCTAAACAAATTACAAATATTTCACAAACATAACTATATATTACACCAAAAGTGTGTAATTTAATTTCCAAAGTATCAAACAACGAAACTAATTAAAAACACAAACATACAAACAGAAATTACATATGTATCAGGTATCCATATACTCATGAAAGCTCATAAAATAGAAGAGTGATTTTTTTTTTATTATTTTTTTGATTTTTATGAAATAAAATAAAAAGAAAAATTAATTACCTTTCCCCGGAAACGGCGCCAAATTTGACGAGCACTTTGTCGTAGTGCGTCAAAATAATCCGATACTTACACTTATACGTAGTATAGTGTAGTAGAGTTCGTATCCACAGGAAAAGGAATAACTCTCTTTTCATAAAACTAGTAAATAAAAGGGGGGGTTTAGGATTGAGTGATTTAATTAAATTAAACACCAAGATGAACGACTTATATGTGATTTAAATCAAAGATAAAAAGAACTTGGTCTTGTTACTTTCCACTTGTTGATGTATTTAGTCGATCATTGTTATATCTATAACTTATCCCCTCTCGAATACTCAATCGAGGAGTATATCCAATTCATCGAGGGTAGTTATTAACAACGACCGTTCATTAATAACCCTTACTATTAGTCAAGTATAGAACACCGCCATATACCGACTTGATAGTAGCATTAATCTCTTAACTCCTTGATGAAATCAATTGAGATTGATAACCTCAACACAACGGTTTCGGTTTAACCAACACAATTAATCCCTCTTAAGTTTATTAACCACGATCATGCATTAATAAACCGAAGTTACTTGTGAAACCATCAATGATTAACCATTAGTTCGTTGATCGTTTCTAGTTGTAATTAATGTCGAGATGTTAACTAATTGTCATCTTAGCAACACTCCCCAACATTAATATAGAAATAGATTAAGGGAAAAATTAATATTCAAGGGAAGAAATTAAGAAAATAACTCACAACTTTAATAATCAACAAGCTTCAAGAGCAACACCAAGAAATGGAAGTTTAGCTCCTCATTTGGAAACTAAACATGCTATAAAAATATAAAAGAAATACTATTCTAAACTGAGCTTAAGAGTATGGAAGAAGGAATCAAAATTAGTGAAGGAAAAGGGTGCTATTTATAGGTGTTTTTCAATACCTTTGGCAGGGTATCCGACCGGGTACCGGTCAAAATCAAATATTTCTCCACGTTCTTGTGTTTTAGCACGTCATTTTGTCCCGGGTCACATCTGACCCGACCGGGTGAGGTAGAGGACCTGACCGGGTCTGGCAATTTTCTGAGCATCTTCGGTTTTCACTTCTTACCCGACCGGGTGCAAGGTCCCACTTAGTCGAGTTTTAGCTCCCGGGCAGTCAAATATCATTTTTCTTCACTTCAAAGTCCTCCTTTCTAACACCATAATTCCTAACTCTACTTTACAACTTACAAATGAAGATTAAAATACAATTACAACTAAAATCACACAAATGTTTACAAACTAAATAAAACGGTAAACAATCCACACAAATCAAACATAAAAACATACATTCATGCACTACTAATTAGTGCATATCAGTAATACTTTTAAATCGTTCAGAAGAGTGTTACATTTGATTAAAAAAATGTTACATACTGTTACAATGGAGAAAAGGTAACGTGAGCGAATGTAACGGTACAAAACTGTTACATTTGGAAGAATGTAACAGTTTTTTGGATCAATGGTAACGAATTTGACTGTTACAAAAGACTTCTTAATGTAGTAGTGGGATCCGGGCG